AGCTGAAATCCAGCTATGTGACCCTGGACCAATCATTTCACCCTGTTTTCCTCAATTTCCTCCTCTGTAAAATGAACTAGAGAAGGGAATGGCAAACCATTCCAGTATCTCTGCCATGAAAACCCCAAATGGGGTCACGAAGAGTAGGAAATGACTGAAACAACTCAACAAGAAGAAATAATCAAGGAGTTAATTCCCAAGAAACCTGGGGAGATTTGTATGGATTGATGAAGAATGACATGAACCCTTCATATCGTCACATCAACATTGTAAAAAGGAATAATTTTGGAAGACTTTAGAATTCTGATTCACACAATTAAATCATGACAATTGCTTAGCTACTTAAATCATTCCAGAGAATTCTGGAATTGGAGCATGGTACCCACCTTCTGTCAGAGGGTTGAAGGACCAAAACACAGGAGAAGATGCATGTTGGGAGATGCTACTTCCAGCCAATGTGGGAATTTGTTTTGCCTGATTATGCTTACTCATTACAAGGGGCATGTTTTTCCGTTTCTTTTTTGCCTTGTCTTGTCTTCTCTTGCCTTCTCTTTTCTCCAGTTGAGTGTGGGGGTGGGTGGGAGAAAAGATAAGTATATGACTACAGAAAAACAATTTAATTAATCCCTCTTCCCCTCCCCCCCAAAAAAGGGAGAGAGATCACTTTTAGGAAGAGGAAGGTCATAGTCTTATTATGCCTTGAATCCACGTCATATAAGGATCAGTAGAAGGAACTTGATATTTACCCTGGAAATGAGAAGACTCAGAGGAGAAATAGGTAAATATTGATTTCTTCATATATTTGAAGGGCTATCAGAAGAAGGAGAGATTCTGCTTGTTCTGTTTGACTCTGGAGAGCTGACCCAAGAGCAATGAATAGAAGTGGCCAGGAGGAAAATTTTGAATTACTAGCAAGAAAAACTCCCTACAAATTAGAACCATCCCAAAGTGGAGCAGACTTAGATGGCTATTTGCCATGACTTGTTCCTGGTGAACTCATAAAAGGTCCCAGTACTCATTGGATTATTTCTTAATGTGGCCAAGACGTGCATCTCAGGAACAAGCAGGCTCTGGCTGGCCATTCCTGTCTTGTTTCATATTTCTCTGCTCCACACACTTTATACCATTTAAGACTATTGATCCAATGAATACCATTCTATCTCCTGCCACTGTATCTTTGTACAGGGGTTTGCCCACGTCTGGAATGCCAGCTTCCTCATTTTGGCTTCTTTTGGAGATTTTGGCCTCAATCAATGCATAACTTTGGAGTCTTCCTTAGATGGATCCTCTTCTCATTACCCCCAATCCAAAGCTCTCCTCCTCCTGAAATTACTTTGTATTTCCTTATCTCTACCCATGAGATATTGGCAGTCCAGTGGAATGTAAGCTCTTAGAAGGCAGGAATTGTTTTTGTCTTTTCATTTTTGGCACTTTGCCTTCCATATAGTAAGTTCATAGTAGGTAAGGAATGATTTGAAAGCAACAATTTCCTAAAAGCAAGTTCTCAGGGGCGAATGTATCATTTCAATACAGTTAGATATCAATGACCTAAGAGACCTTTCCACAAGCATCCAAGTATTATGGGAATTTTTTACCTCTTTTTTTTTCTACTGGCTCTAGTATGGCCATTTTATTTTTTAAGTGCAGAGTTGGTGGAAAAACAGAGCAGCAGCAGTATAGCAGTCATGCCCCAAAGGAGTGTGTGTGTGTGTGTGTTTGTGTGTGTGTGTGTGTCTGTGTGTGTGTGTGTAAGAGAGACAGACAGACAGAAAGACAGAGACATGGAAAGAGAAAGAAAGAGGCAGAGAGATGGACAGAAACAGAGAGACAGAGATTTAGCTTTCATGGTACTATTTTATTTTTAAATATTTAGGATCTTTGTAAGGGATTTATTGAACTAATTTAAAAAAAAACCACACACACAGTAACCAGAAACCAATATTTGTATTCTCCAGAGAACCCAGGGCTCAGGCTTGCTCAGAAATGTTTTGGGAAGTCTATTTCTGCTTCTTTTTTTTTTCTTTGCTTAATTCTGCTTATTTTTTTTTCTGCTTTTCTGGTGAGAAGCATCTGTAATTCAAGATGACTGTGGACAAACAGGAGTCAGTTTATGTGTCTTTCCGATAATGTAGTTGGGGCAAGGTCTGCTTGGCATCCTAAGTTCAGTAACATGGTTCAATTTCCAGGACCCTAATCCATATCTTTGTAGGTGAGTCGGTCAACAAGCATGCATTAAGGTCTTACTACAGGACAGGCACTGTGAGTGCTGGGGATACAAAGAAAGATACAATCCACTCTCTGCCCTCAAGGATTTTACATCTTAGTAGGGGAGAAAACATAGAAACAGGAAGTTAGTATCAATAAGAAGGCTGTTGTTTGACCTTCATTTTGAAGAGGACTAATGACATCGAAGGGTCTTGAACTGGTTCATGAATTGGATGTAAGCGAGGCAGCATTGCATGAAGTCGTCAGCCTCATTCTCTCTTCCAGAGTCATTGAAGTCCAGTAACAGGACAGAAGTCAGGATGATTGACAGTGGCCTGGGATGCAGAGGATGATCTTGGTGTCTTTCATGTCTGACCAAACTCTTAGTGCTCCACAGTGCCTGCTTCAGCTACCTTCATGGCCATTGGAGCAAAAGATCTCATCTGCCCATGCTGTGGCAGGAAGTTTCCATATGCTTGGGGTAACCATCCCCTAAGTCACTGATGGCTTTGAAGCCCCTCAGTTACCCTGGTTTAGCCCCTCTGCCAAGGTGGTTTAGCAGGGTGTAGCTACTGCACATGCTACAGCTTCTTGGAGCTACAGGTGAGAGTTGAGTGCCAAGTGGACCAAACGTGGATGAGCATCCCTGAAAAGGACATGACACGCCTTTACACATAGGGGCTAGCTCTCCTTGAAAAGCCATATACCCCAGTGAGATGGCACAAGCAATGGGGAATGACCAGGAAAGTCATGTTCCAGAAGGTGGTGCTTGTGCTGAGTCCTGAAGGACTCCAGAGGAGCTAGGAGGGGAAGGTGAGGGAGCAGGGCATTGCATGAATAAAGGATAACCAGTACAGAGACATGAAGATAGGACATGGAATGCCCTGTACAAGAAACTGCAAGAAGACCAGTATAGCTGGAAAATAGAGTGTGTGGAGGGGATTAAACTGTAAGAAGACTGGAAAGATAGGAAAAGGCAAATTTGTGAAGAGCTTTGAATGACAGAAAGAGGATTTTACATTTTAACCTGGAGATAATAGGGAGCCATGGAGGTCATTGACTGGGGGTGGGGGAGAATGGTCATATCTATTCTATAGAAAAATTACCTTGATCATTAAGGGGAGGATGGAGTAGACTGGGTAGAGACTTGAGGCAGGAAGACCAACTGGAACGTTATTGCAGTTGTCTAGGTAAGAGACGATGAGGGGCAGCTAGATGGCGCAGTGGATAGAGCACTGGCCCTGGATTCAGGAGTACCTGAGTTCAAATCCGGCCTCAGACACATAACACTTACTAGCTGTGTGACCCTGGGCAAGTCACTTAACCCCATTGCCTAACCAAAAAAAAAAAAAAAAAGATGATGAGAGCCTGAAGGAGGGTGATGGCCGTGTGAGTGGAGAGATGGAGAAAAGGAGACATAATCAAGAGCTTCTGTGAAGGTAGAAATGGCCAAACTTGGAAATAAATTGGACATGTTGAGGTGAATAAGGGTGAGCAGTCAAGGGTAACAATGACGTTGCAAGCCTGAGTTACTGGGAGGATAGTGGTGTTTTTGGTGGTAATAGATATATTTGGAAGAGAGATGTTTTTTTGGGGGGGGGAGGTGATTGGTGTAGTTCTATTTTGGATATGCTGAGTTTGAGATACCTACATGGACATACAATCAGAATGTCCAATAGGAGTTGGTGATGTTCAACTAGAGCTCAGGAGAAACTTTAGCTGGAAGCCATCTGCATATAGATGATAATTGAACCCAGGGGAGCTAATGAGATCACTAAGCAAAATTGTATGGAGGGAGAAGAGAAGAGTGATCAGAACAGAGCCTTAGGGGACCCACCATTAGTGAGTGTGACACAAATGAAGAGCCAGAAAGAATGATGAGGCAGAAAGGAGAACCAGAAGAGAACATTGTCACAAAAACCTAGAGAGGAGAGAGTATCCAACAAGAAGAGGTGATCATCAGTGTCCAACAGTGGCCGAAGAAGGGTCTAGAAGGATGAGGAATGAGAAAAGGCCATTAGCTTTGGCAATTAAGAGATTATTAGTAACAATAGAAAGGGCAGTTTCAATTGAATTATGAGGTCAGATTGCAGAGGGTTTATAAGGAAGTGAAAAAAAGGAAATGGGGGCACAGAGTTGGCTTCTACAAAAAATTTATCCATGACGGGGAGGAGAGATATAGGATATTAGCTAGCAGGGATGGTTAGATCAAGTTGGGGGTAGTTTAAGAGTGGGGGATTATAAGGACAGGAAACAGGGAACTCATACTATTCATTGAAGTCAAAACTATCATCATCATCGTCATCATCATCATCATCATCATCATTATTATTATTATTTCCTGAGTATATAGTATTAACTCTCTTGAGATTTTCTGTGGGAAAGCAGTTAGTACCTGTGTTTTCAGAGGTGAGGGCAGCCAAGTGGCATTATGGATTGGGCAGACAGACCTGGAATCAGGATAACCTGAATTCAGATCTTGCCTGAGTGGACTCCAGTTATTGAAAACTCTCTCCACAGATGAGCAGATTAGGAATTGGCCTGAAATTTGCAGTTTTAGAGAGTCGCCTAGGACACTGAGACATTTGATGACTTGTCCAGGGTCACACTGCCAGCACATCTCAGAGGCAGGATTTGAACCCAAAATCATTTTCCTCCCTTGTCTACTTGCCAACTGACATAGTTCATTTTCTACTTTCTACCAAGTCAGTCCCAAATGGTTTCTTTCTCAAACTGTCATGTGTGACCAAGCCAGCCTTTTACCTCACTCATCTGCTTTATCACTCTCTTCCCAGATCAGCCCAAACCCCATTTTTGTGCCAGGCATTTGGGGCCCCTACTTCTCAGCTATGGTTCCTGGATTTTGGCTAAATGAAGGAGGGCAGAGTGTTACTGGAAGACTGGTAAGTTAAGTGAATTGCCTGATCCTTCAGGACATTCATTCATTCATTCATTCATTCAATAAATCTTGATTAAGTACTTGCTAATAACATCCAGTTTCTCTGTGAGGTCCTGGGGGAGATAGAAAATTTAGATAAAACACAGTCCCATCTTTCCTGGAGCTCAGGAGTAGGAGGATAAGACATCCACATAGATAACCATAATACAGACTATTTGGATTATAGATTGTAAATTTATAATATTAACTCTATTGATTTAGAATTCTAGCTCTAGGGGATCTAGAAGGTAGCAAGTGACTGAGGTGAGATTTGAACCCAGGGCCTCAGATTCCAAAGCTGGGGCTCTTTCCACTACAGCATGCTGTTTTTCATAATTGTATGCTACGTGCATTAGTGAAGGTCCTTAAAGGAATGCCTAGAGGGCTGTTGTAGCTCTGTAAGAAAATGCAAAACCCAACCAGTCAGTTCACACTCATATTTTACCAGGGTCTCATGTCCCAAGAGGTTTCATTGGAAGTTAAATCAATAGAATTTGCTTTTGCTTTTGCTGGCTTAGGTGAATAAGTGAATGAGTGGTGATTTATGAACCTGGATCCTTCATCCTGAGTGTGGCTTTTCCAGCTACCAGCGAGCATATGATACCCCAGTCTGCAGCTCCAGTCTGCCAAAGCTGCAGGGCAGAGGAGGAGAGGAGGAGAGAAGGGACCGAGAAGGACTGAGATACCCAGCTAGCAGAACAGGGGTTAACCTAGAAATAAGTAGAGACTCTGGCAAGGGCATGCTAGGAAGAAAGGTCCCTGGGGACATCCTCCAGACTGCTGATGAGCTCTCAATGTCTTCCCACTTGCTTCTACTCCTTGAGTCACTGCCTCTGTTTCTGACCCTGATCTAGTAACCAGGCCCAGATGAATTGTACTGTAGCAGTCTAGACCCAACACACTGGATGGTAAGTAGCACAGGGCATTTTAGAATCATAGAATCTCAATTTGAAAGGGACCTCATAAGGCTACTCATCCAACCAATACTCAAACAAAAGTCCCCTCTACAAGACACCCAAGAAGAGATCTTTTTTTTGTAGGTCAACAAGTATTTAAGTGTTAATTATGTGCCAGGCAATGTTCAAGACCTCCAGGGAGGGGGAGCCTATGGCTTCTTGAGGTAACCCGTTCCACTTTGGGTTGGCTCAATTGTTAAGAGGCTTGTCTTGATATCAAGCATAAATTTGTGACTTTATTTTATCCAATACTCCTGGATCTGCCCTATGACCTAAACAATGCAAGTCCACTCTTTCTTACTTGCACCAATCATTCAAATTCTGGAAGAGTTATCTTGTCCCTGCTGAGTCTTTTCTAAGCAAATATCGAAACATCCCCATTTCCTTCCATCAGTCCTCGTGCAGCACAGACTTCTGGCTTTTTGCTATTCTTATTCTCCTTTGAAGACTCTCCATCTTATCAAGGCTCTTCTTAAAATGTGCATCCATGTATTGAGTAGATGGATGGGGCAGAGGCAGCAGGGATGGATGGGCCAGACTTCCTTCCTTTCTGGGGGCCTGACACCTTCCACTTCTGATTTCTCTCTATAGCTCTTGGGTCTGGGCTTCATTAGACTTCTGCATTCATGAAGCAGACTCATGAACATACCGTGGTTTGCCAATAATGTTCCTTGCTAGAAAGAGATATTTCTCAGAAACTGATAAATGGGCTTATTAATTTAAATGAGCCTCCTCTAAGATGATTAAATCATAGACTTGAAGTTGGAAGGGACCTCAGAAATCATCTAGTCCTACCCTCTCGTTTGCAGATGAGGAAACTGAGGCCCACAGAGACAAAGTGATTTTGAAGGGAGTAGAGAGCAGAGTTGTGTCCTCTGACTCCAAAGTAGCCTTCATTCCATTTTCCCAGAATGTTTTAGGGATGGGGTCAGAATCTGTGATTTCACTGGTCTAGGGGGCTCCCAGTGAGTAACACTCTATCTAAGCATGCAGCAATTTCTCTACAAGTTATTGGCTTAGAGAGACCCCCAGAGCATGGTGAAATTAAGTGACTTACCCAGGGTCACCTAGCCAGTTTGTGACCAAGGTGAGACTTAGTCAACCCCCGCCCCCATCTTCTTTCCTCCAAGACAAGCTCGCTAGGCACCAGGCTAAGACATATCTTTACCATTTCATTGTTATGCAGTGTGAATCAGTATTCCTGGGTCCAAGAACCCCTAATCAATTGTTAATCTGTTTACTGTTCTATAAGCTCAGGGGTTTTGAATGCAGGAACATGGTGGGACATTCTCCACAGCTGAAGACAATGAAAAGTGAAGCCAAGATGGTGCCTAGCCCCAAGTTTCAAGACTCAAGGACTCTTAGGAATAGACTTTGCACTGAGCAAGGCAGATTGGAGGTTTGCCTGATATTTTCAGTCCAGAGACATGCCTGCTTTCTTCAGTCTCTGTCCACTTACTTCCTGGTGATATTAATGATTATTATTATTTTTAAAAATAACTACAAAGGTTATTTGTATGTTTTCAATTTTTCTTTATGTAATATGATTTATGTAATGACCTCATGTGAGCCACACCAAAAACCCAAATCAAGGAAGAATTCATCTCAAATCCTCCACGGATTGAGAGAAATCCCTGGTGGGTCCTGAGCTTTGGCTGAAGGATCCTGAAAAGGTGTTTGCTGCTCTGTTGTTTTCTATGTAGTGAATTTGGCCCCGTGGTTTTAATTCTCCCGCAAGAATACAATATGGTTGGCCCCTCATTATTCCAACAGCAAAATGAGGTCTTGATGATCTGTTCTCTTCTCTTCCACCTCCTGATCAACCCTTGATTCCTGTTTGTTTACCCCCTCCCCACAGTCAGATTATTTTAATCTAAGGCCTGAGCCTGGTGAAAAATAGTGGCAGGGTCCTGCAGCAGCCCCTCTTCTCCATGACAAACATGGTGTGACTTTGGATTCTGGAAGCTCCTAGCGTTGGCTTTGGCCTACACTGGGGGCTTCTTCTGTTAGCTCTTTATCTCTCCCCCACAGGGGGTGTTCCAAAAGGGTCAACCTCCCAGCCCAGCTTCCCACCGCCACAGCCTTTTGGCTAGATCCTGTCCTTTGTGGATTCCAGACTCTTCCCCTCTTTTAAAGTCATAGCTTGGTACTGAATGCAAAGCTCAGATTTAATCCATTTCCACAAAATCATCTTGGATACAGCTCAAGTGAGCCACAGACATATTCCAGTAAGCATTAATAAGCTCCTTAACTTCTCTCTTGGTGGGGGGGCAACTTGTTCCTATGAGTGTGAAAGATGTGTTATATTCCATAATTCACATAACCTCTCAGGGCTCTGGCAACTCACTAAGACTCTGAGGTTGAGATAGGGTCCTAGTCAGAGGAGGAAATTTACTCACCTGATCGCTCTGCCAGGGAAATCACAAGCCTCTTCTGTTTGACATAGAGAAACATTGGTGGAAGGAGAGGCTGATGGAGAGTGTCCCAAAAGTCTCAGGGCAGTTTTTGGTTATTAAAGCGTAAAATTTCACTGAGACTTTTGGGACATTCCATATAGATAGATAGGGATATACCTTCTCTACTCCTATGTGTGTATATGTAGTCTCTATCCCCTGTCCCTATCTGTCTCTATATAGGTACATATAAGTGTGTGAATTGTGTATATGTGTGTGTGTGTGTATATATGTCTCTATATATATATACACGTATATATACATGCATGGACATGCACGCATGCGCGCACACACACACACACACACACACACACACACACACACATATATATATGCTCTACCAATGTAGATCTGTACCTCCTCTGCTCATCAGAGTTGTCCAGCAGCACCCAAGAGGCTAAGTGACTTGCGTAGGTATGGAGATGGGCAGCTGAGTAGCACAATGGATAGAGCACTCGGCCTGGAGTCAGGAAGACCTGAGTTCAAATCCAACATTAGATACTTACTAGCTATATGACCCTGGGCAAGTCACTTCATCCTGTTTGCCTCGGTTCCCTCATCTGTAAAATGAACTGGAGAAGGAAATGGCAAACCACTCCAGTATCTTTGCCAGGAAAACCCAAAATGAAGAGTCAGATGTGACTGAAACAACTGAATGAAACTGGGTATGAATAAGAATTAGCACAGTGGAAAGAGAACCAGCCTTTGAATTAGGGAGAACTATGTTCCGATCCTGCCTCTGAAATGCTAGGAAACTCTCTAAGATTTTGCAAAGAAAGTGCTGATCTACATTGGTAGAAGGAATCTTTCTCTGGGCATTCCCTGCTCTGCTGAAACTGCAGGTCCAGGCTTTTCCCTCCCTCTAATACACATACATATATATATTTAATAATGTATGTGTGTAATATATATATACACATATACACACATGAGCACACACATGTGTGTTTGTATATATGTGTGTACACACACACACATATGTGTGTGTATATATATGTGTGTGCATCTGTATATATATATATATGTATATATGCCAATACCCTAAGAGTACATGGGTCATATGGTCATATTCCACAATAATTTCCTACTAGGGGCTGTATTACTTTTAAGTGTCTTTTACTAGAATCTTATTAAAACTATTACTTGAAATAAAAAAAATGTTGTACCTTCAGCTTTCTGTTAATAATATAAAACAGAACTCACATTGATGGAGTTTTTCAGGTTTCTAAAAGCCCTCACTTTACAGCCAGCCTGTGTGGTAAGTGGGGCAAGATGTAAGGCGCATCTGATGGTTGTCTTCAAGTCTTCGGGGCTGTCACCCGATGCAAGGATTCAAATTGTTGTCCTCATAGCGGTATTGGGTAGAAGGCACAGCGAAGCAAATTTAAGCTTGATATAAGGAAGAATTTCCTAACACTGTGAACTATGGAGACATGCAATGAGCTGCCTTGAGAGGTGGTGGGTTGTCTCTTCCTTTGGGGTCTCCAAGCAGAAGCTGGACGTGTGATATGGAGGATCCCCATGTAAGGTCAGGTTAGTTTAGGTGACCCCTGAGA